GTCTTTCTCACTAGTTTCATTTGTTTTAGTATCTGCAGATGTGTCTGTATCATTTTTACGTTAAATGAAATACAGACATCAGAGATTTTCCAGAGGCCTTGTTGTTTCCATCTCTGAAATGGGCAGATAGATTTAGAAACAGATTTTTTTTTTCTGTGACTTATTCAAGAGAAACTCTTTTCACAAGAGATTGTCAAATCCTAAACCCCACACAAAGGGACATAATGCAATGCACAAAACACTTTTTCCCCTTCCTGGCTCCAAATAAATTTAAATTTAATAGGAAAGTGAAATTAGGTCACTTGTTTATGTAGAAAGCTTTTAGTATTAGACATCAGCAGCACTGATAACAACTGCTACATAGGTAAAAAAGCCTACCAAATAAGACCGATTCTACAATCTTTATTAAAAATAAAACAAATGTTGTCACTACCACAGAAGGTGCAGAAACAGTAAATCAAATAAAATGAACAGCTTTGCTCCCCAATATGAACAAGAAATTATTGATGAGACAGAATTAAATCTTTTAGCTTTTGATTTATTTGAGCATTTAGAGCACATTTCTCTTCTTCGGAATTACAAACGAGGATTTTTGGCTTATCTTGGTATTTCTTTTGAGTGACAGAAGGATAGTATGTGTTGATATAGGTTCTAAATCATATTTCCTATACTGTAATTGACTCCTTTTTCTGCAGCTAATTAAGTGGAAAACAATTCAAAAGACTCACATTATACATTTAAAAAAAAACATTACTATTTATTGTGAATTACAATTGTTTGCTTTCATTTATAATTTGTAAAGTTCAACTCGATAAGAGCTTATAATTTTTGATTTTTATCTATGGTTGCACAATTCCAAATTCATGGTCTAATGTTTCAATGTTAGCAGGATAACTTGAATTTATGAAACATAGTATCAAATTATTCATTACATATATATTTTTGGGGGTTAATATAAATTTTCCTAATTCTGTTGTGAATATTTCCCCTTTTCACTAAAGGAGAGCATAAGAGAAACAGACATCATTTTTTCAGTTTTTAAAATATGCATTTGGACATATTTTCTTTTGCCTGCTACCAAGTACACATTTGTCAAAAGTCCCAAAACCTAGGAAAAAGTGACGATACCTAAGAGAGTGAGGCATAACTGGCTCGATGCTGTTCAAGATCTCTCATTTGTGGACTGGAAGTTGATACCAGAAGGCAATCAGGCTTACTTTGTACCACCGTAACAAATTTAAAAATATCTTTTAGTAACTCAACGTGGGGATTTATTTATTCTTATTTGTTATCTACCACCGATTAACATGTAAAGGATAAAAAGAATCCACTGATTTTTTTAAAAGTCAAAACTTATGGAAATTACTTTTTGCAAACTGAAGAAAAGCAAAAAGAGTCTAGTGACTTGCAGGAGGCCATGTGATTTTTTTCCAGTAGAATTAAATACTCCTGGCTTCTGCAACATGGCTCGTACTGTGTATGGCACATGCTCAATAGATATTTATCAAATGAATGAATGGAAATTAGAAATTTATTTTTATCTCTTTCAAAATTTAGAAATACAACAATTGAATTAAATTTCTATCACAATTATTGGAATTAACTTTACTTTCTAGTACTTCATAGGCCTTTACCATATAATATCACTAAATTAATTTGTAGCATTTTGCATTTAATGTGAACTTTTAAATCAAAGTTGTTATTTTCTGATATGTTAAACCTCAGAGGTCGTTAGAGTATGAAGGAGGAAAAGAAAGATTCAAAAGTTTCAAGCTCCAACGGTTTTTCTGTCATTCTCACAACCGCACGGTACTTTTCAGCAATAGGGCATCACTTTAATAATATTGGACTTTCTCCTTCAAAGGCGCACACATAAGTGCTCTTGCTGAGAAGAGAACATGACAGACCTGCAAGTAAAATTTTGCTGTGTTTTCACAAACCTTGTTTATGTTTGTTTAAAATCTTAGGGAAAGCACACTGTGGGTCTTGAGAGCTGTAAGTGGGTAATAAAATAAGAACTGTAATTTTTCAAAGCATCGCCGAATGCCAAAAATCTGATATTATCATTCCGGTTTACAGTGACTAGTTAAAGGGTATTAGCATCCTGTTATTTGCAAAAGAATTTACAAGGAAACCTAAAACAATTGGAAAAGACAGTGGAAAAATGTGCAGATTTTTAGAAGAATCAACTATGATTAAAAAAAAAATTGAATTAGATTGTCTGGTGAACTGAAGCTAAATAAAAATGCAGAGATGAGCTAGCCAAGCTTTCATTTTCTTGTTCTCTTTTATATTATTTGGCCACAGAGTTATTTTTCTCCAAAGATATTTTTCATTAGATTATTTAATTTGATACAATCGCTATCAAGAACTATAGGAGCTGAAAAAGTAGGTTAAAAATTTGGGGTGACAAATGGCTTTATTTACTTATAATGTATTTTAATAAAATGCTACATGTTAAGATAATTTATATGGGCCGCTGCATCGCACAACCTTAGAGAGTATCATTGCATGGAATAGTCTGACTGGTGCCCTCTGTAATTGTGTAGTGGTATTGAGGTTATATGCAATCTGTGCTGATTTTGGCTCCAGGAATATTTTCCATGTGTTGTACTAGGAAAAATATTTTCTAATCTTTCGTGGCACTTATACTTTTTCGACATTCATCACAGTCTATAAACAATGTTTGTATGTCTAATTTTAAACAACCTTTTCACAGAGCTTTAACCAAAAATAAAAGTAGAAACGTTATAGGCCATAGGAAAGATACTGACCTGTGCAACAAATTTAAAGTCTGAAAACACAGAGGTTTTCGAATGGAAGCAGGAAATTTGCGACTGGAATCAGATTTCTTTACTGCATCAGGATTCTTCTTAGAATTCTCCTCAGCTCTTTTTAGTTGAGTGGAGATTCTGTATAGAGAATATATTTATTTTGTACTTTTAAAATACTTTGTCCTGACTCACTATATAGGTTGAATTTGCATAGGGTGGATAGTAGACATGACCTCAGCTTTAGTGTCTTAACGTTTTAAGTCACGGCAGTTTAATTTCATTCATATGAAAACGCACATGGATTCATAACAGAGTGAGGAGGCACCATCATTTTTGAACATAAAAGTGTCGATGTGGCATAAGAGATGGTACTTGGAAGAATTTTCCAACCAATAAAGAATATTCTGAAAAAATAAATAGAAAAGGAGGCCCCGATACATTAATAGAGAAAATAATGGCTTTTAATCGCCAAAGATTGCTATTAGAAAACAAGATAATCTCTCTTTTCTTCTAATTTTCTTTATTTTTTTCTAATTTTGTTTTTAAAATTTGAGCCTTCCTCAAATTTTACTTTTTCCATAAAATTTCGTCTCCCTCTCCATTCTGATTGAATTCTTACAAACTACGTGAGTCTACAGAGTGTAGGAAAAGCCTGCGCAGCCACACGGCCTGCATTGGTGTCTTGCCTCTACCGCTCGCCCGCCAGGGGACCTTGGGCAAGCCTGTTGACCTCTGTATGTGCTGATTTGCTCATCTGGGAAACGCAGATAATAATAGTCACTCCTTCAAGAGGGTATTCTAAGTATTAGAATGGCAGGTACTTGTAAGCACTCAGTTATTGCCAGCAGTTTTTACTGTGAGCCACATGTTGTAGCTCTTAGTTGTTGTAATGATTTGCCTTAATCACCTTCTAAGGCATGATATATAAACATTCATAAAACACATGCTGTGGCATTTTTCTATGCTTGTGGTTTATGTATCTGGTTTTTGTTTGTTTGCCTATTTTAAGTTCCTTGGGTCAGGACCTACATCATTTACATCTTTTTTTTTAATAGACTTTACTTTTTAGAAAAGCGCACAGCAAAATTGAGTGAAGGGTAGAATTTCCATATACTCTCCCCACATGCACAGCCTCCCCCATTGGATAATGTCCCACCTGAGTGGGACATTTGTTACAACTGATGAACCTACACGGACACATCACGATCACCTAGAGTCCATAGTTTACATTCGGGTTCACTCTTAGTGATGTATATTCTGTAGGTTTTGACAAATTCGTAATGATATATATTCACCATTTGACAAATTTGTAATGATATATATTCACCATATATTCAACATACAGAGTTTTTTCACTGCCCTAAAAATCTGTGCTATGTCTGTTCACTCCTCCCTCTTGTCAATCCCTTGGCGACCACTGACCTTTTCACTGTCTTCACAGTTTTGCCTCTTCCAGTACGCTGAATCGTTGGAGTCATACGGTATATAACCTTTTCAGGCTGGTTTCTTCCACTTATTAATATGCACATACATCTCCTCTATGTCTTTTATGGCTTGATAGCTCATTTGTTTTCAGGGCTGAATAATATTCCATGGTCTGGATGGACCACAGTTTGTATATCCATTCACCTACTGAAGGGCATCTCTGTTGCTTCCAGGTTCTGGCAATTAAGAATAAAGCTGCCATGAACCTCCATGTACAGGTTGTTGCTCGGACATATCATACAGTTTTTATTATCTACAGTCTCTTGTACAAAGGCAAGGGTTTTGACCAGCTGGTTTCTAGATCTTAGGTCTGAAAGGATTTAGAAATAATGTATTAAATACAAAGAAACCGAAGACTGAGAGACATCGTGTTCACTGTCTAACCCTGCTTGCATAGTCCATTGTACCTTCTGTTATGAAATTTTTACCTAAATGACGAAGAAAATGTAAAATATTTTGAAAATATTACCGAAGGTTTGATGTGGTGAGAATAAAGACTGAGAATTATTGCACCAAATGATATAATCGATATATTTTTAAAGAATAAATTTAATAAGTTGTAGCCACGAGTTTTTCCTCATTGTTTTGTAACTGCTTAATTGAAATTTTATTACAACTTTCTGGTTTTTCTCCTAAATTAGGCATGTGCATTTTCAATTATCTTCTGTTTAGTTGGATTTTTGAATTTTCCCCCTTGGCTTGTGCCCACTTTGGACTGACTGAGCCTTGCTGTTTTAACAGGTTGTGGTGCGGAATTGTCGGGAGCCACGGGCTCCTTCAGCAGCCCCGGGTACCCAAACGCGTATCCCCCTAACAAGGAGTGTATCTGGTACGTTCACACGGATCCTGGGAGTAGCATTCAGCTCACCATCCACGACTTCGATGTGGAGTACCACGCAAGCTGCAGATTTGATGTCCTTGAGGTAGGAATTTAGATTGCTTTCAGCGCAGTCCACACTCCAAAATTTGGAGTAGACCTGGAGATTACTCCAAAAATCCCTAAATTCTTTCCAGTGTTTAGAGCAGTGTTCTATTCTTAGACATTTGATGAGTATCAGCCCTTCGTGAATGACACTTGCAGACAAATGGGATTAATATCTCAATTTAGGTTTTTAGAAAGCAGTACCATAGGGACTCGGTGACAGGCACTTTAGCCAGGAGGTGATGCTGGAGGCAGGAACGAGGGAGCGGCTGTGTGGAAGTGTGCGGGAGGAAGAGCCAGTGAAGAGACCCCTGTGGGCAACTTGGGCTTAATTCCGCTGGGACCCTCTGAGGTCCTGTGAGGACTGCTCATGAGAATCATCCCTCTGAGGACGCCAGGCTCAGGCACTGGTCCTCAGCTCATCCCAGCTGATGGAGGACTGTGCTGGGCATGCTTAGCGCCCCACACTTCTGGCCTAGGAAGCTCCCTTGGGAAGGGCAATGGGGAAGCAAAGTGTAAAGAGGCCGGCGCTGGGGTGGGTCGTGGCAGTAAGCAGAGGGATTGCCCAGCGCAACTGCAGCTGCGACCTAGGGGGTCGACATGGTGCAGGGCACAAAACGCATCTACTGCAGAGAGCTTTTAACAAAACGGCCACTTCGACAGTGTGAGGCGTTTGAAGATAAGAGCTTTCCCAACACTACTGCAAAGAGTTTATCTCAGATGGTTAAGACAGCCTTAGAAAATCTATTATAATCTGCTTTTTATTGCAGGAATCCAGTTATCAGGAGATCTCACACACACACACACACACACACGCACACACACACGCACACACACACACACACACACACTTGACCTATCTGCAAAATTTAATGGCTTCCAAGTACACGCCAACCTCCTATCACCTCAGCAATAGCAATTGCTGTAGCACATCATGACAAGGGTTCTATATCTAGTAGAACTTAAACTCCATGATGGATGGGTGTTTGTTTTTGTTTTGTTTTGTTTTACTGCTATATCCCTAGGCCCACAGAGTACTTGGTGAACACTCACTATGTACTTGTGGAATGGATGAAAGCACCCAAATCTCTGAATGACACACCCATAACGCACATTTATGGTGGTTTACAAAAGGTTTTGGCATCTATTTTCCTGTTTGAATGTTCAATAATCTTATGATGTAAGGGGCGGGGGGAATCTTGTCTCCATTTTAGTGTTGTCAAAATAGAAGCTCTAAAAGATTGGCAGGTTTTTCCATGACCACAAAAATAATGAATAGAAGAGCTGTGAACTGAATTCATCTACCACCAAACACTCCATGTAAGACAGTATAAAAAGATGGAGGTGGGCAGTGTGCCAGATATTGAGATGAGTGGCATGTGCTTCATAGGAAGTACAAACTTTATTTAATTACAAAACATGTTTCTTTGAAAAGGAATGGGGTTCTCAAAACATGCCTTCACTGCATGGCTGCAGTCACTGGGAATCGCATCTAGCAGCTCAGATCTCTGTAACGGAGGATAATGCTGCACTAAGTGAAATCAGAGACAGAAAACCCATAGCCTCCTCTTCATGTACGTACTGCTGCCAAGTCATGACTCCATCTCAGAGGAGGAACGTTTTTTTAGGAGAAGAGAACAGGATGGCAACCGAAATTCACACTCACTGTGTAAAGTAAGACTAACACCCCAAAGTGGAATGTTCAAATGGTCTCTCTTGCTAGCAAGGCTATTTCTCAGTGGCATAAAACCCCTTGACACTTACAAAGGGCTGGCAGCGGACTTTTCCACAGTAATGTGAAATGTTCCTTACCCTTCATTTTCATATTCCAAAGGGCATGTGATTGTTGCCCACTTGGCAAATGTAAATGAGTTCATTGTGCTTTGGGTTCTGTCACACCCATTACGTGAGAAAGCAAAGACTGGGGCTGTCCCCTGCAAGCAGCCTCGGGGACAGGGACAAAGCAAGATCTCCAGGCAGCAACACTCAAGCAGGGGCTGTAAGAAGAGGCTGCAGTCTGCTTGGGGCTTGTTTTTATTAGTCCAAGATGATCTCTCATGTTCCATCAAAATCAGGGTTTGGAGGAATATTTTGAGGCCATTAAATATTTTGGAAGAGTTTTTTTCCTTAAGGCCGAAAAGAGTAACCTTCTTACTTTTTGTTCAAAAACATTTTGTTCAGATAATGAACTCTGCAAATGCTGAAGTCAGGGCAAAAGTGCTGTAATAAATTTGCATTAATGGTGATAAAATGACTTTTCCATCCTTCATATTGTAGACACTGTTAGTGTTAGCAAGAGGTTTCGAAATCTGTTGCTCTTGGGGTGTGCATGGCCTAGAAACACTGCTGGCTTTCTGGACCCATCCATTCTCAGCCTGCACATTATCCTTTCCTGCTCTGCCGAGCACAGCCAAGTAGGACCTCAGTGTCATCGGGTATTGGGTCTTCCTGGGTTTCAACAAATTTATTTTTCACAAAACTTTTCACCAAAAATTTCACCAAGTTTTCTCCCTCAAAACTGAATGCCCAAAAAGTGGCCAGTGGCATGAAGCAACAGCCGTTTGGTTACTCATAACCCTGGAATGCTGACTTGATGGTAACAATAAATGGAGCTAACAGAGCAGAAAGCAATGTTCAAAACAGATTAAAACCATAGGCTTTGAAATGTTCTATATCCTAAGAATTTGCTAAAAACACATTTTTTAATCTCTGATCATCAGCCCAATTCTCTTCCCCCCAAAGTTTAGTCATATGCTGTAGTCGAATGAACCACACCCTGAAATTCTTTCCATCTTTTTCCTCTTTTGAAGAGTCATGCTCTCGTTACTGGTTTTATTTGTGGAAGCCCAGTGCCATTCTGTTGTTTTGGTCCTGGAAACACTGGCTGATTTTACTTCAGTCTCTAAACCGGTGTAAAGCAGAAAAAGAAACACACTCCTCATGCAATAAACCTGGGCAGTCGCTTGGTGTGGGCAGCTAGCTCTCGCTGATCCCTCGCCATGGTCGTCTGTGAGCCCAGCGCAGTAAGAGGGGAAGCAGAAGTGGCAGTGTTTATTCTTCTGGAGGCTTCCAGGCCAGCTGGCTCATACCCAGTATGTTTGTGATCTCAAGGGGGCCCGTGAGCAGGGAAAACAAAGGCTATCTTGCTGACGTGCAAGTTTTCCCTGTTAGAACTAAACTCGAGCCCCATGTTCCCTCCAGATAAGTGCTGCTAATCGGGCTCAGGTGATGAAGAGCACATGCCGCCAGTGTCTCGCTCTGAGGACTGCACCCTGGGCCAGGGGCAGGGAGACCTTCAGAACGGGAAGGACACTCTAAACAAGAATCCATCCCATCTCTTGCATTTGCATATGTGTACGTGTAAAGGGCCACACAGGGCTCTCTCTGCCTGAAGTCCTGCTTCGGCTGGGGCTTAGCGGGCCACGCAGGCTTCACTACTCCTAATGAAAACGAGCATGCGGCTGTCGGCCTGCTTCATTCCTTTGCAATTACTGTCCTTGTGCTCGGCCCTGCCTCAAACAGCAGTTTCATTCATTTTGGCCTTTCCTGCGTGGCTGGGGGAATTAATCAGACAAAGAAATCATTATAGATTCAAATCACACACTCCTCCCCAAAAGCAGGCTTCTTGTTCTCACTCTCTCTCCCCAGAGAACTCTTAGTGTTTCCCAGATCAGTCAGCAGCCGCCCCAAGGGTGGGCAGAGCCGGGGGCCCAGGGAGTGAAGGGAAAGTAACGAGGTGGGAAGCCACTGTACAGATAGATGGTGGAGGTGTGTGTAGGGGCAGGGGGCGCGCTGCACCAAGTCTCACCGAGGGCTGTGTACCTGGTTCCGATCCCAAGTATAGGATTACAGGCGTATATATGTGGGGGAGGGAAGGACCCAGATACTAATATGCCTGAAAACTGTTGCCCCAAATGGTCTTTATTCTACAAATTCAAGACCTGAAGGTAAGGGGTCAATATCTTCTATTCCTCACATTTTCCACCCATCTCCCCACACACGCACCCCAAACACATATACTGCATAAGCAGGGCCCACTGGTGACTGAGAAACCTGTGTGTGAAGTGTCCTGGAGGCCCAACCTGGCCGGGCTAGACTAGCCTGCTAGATGCTGGATGTGAGACCAAGAGGACACTTGCCTGGAGGAATGTGTGTGTCACTGGGGTATTGGATCCCAGTCTCACAGACAGTTGCAAGTTGGAGGAACCTAGGAGGTCAATCTGAGGACAAGTGAGATGGGCTTAGAGGGAACCATCCAGATCCTGGCACAGAGTGCAGAACAATTCCTGGGCAGAAGTTGGATCCTCTGTGTCATGTTCCTGTGAGCGGGCATGCTGGGAGCAAGGACAGAGGAGCTGTAGTCCCTTCTCGAAGATGCCACAGAACACATGGACAGAGGTTATATTTCTACTCATTCTGAAGCAGCAAAAATATTATATTAAATGCCTAATTTTATAAAATATTCAGATTTCAAAGTGGAAAATCCTAAAAATATAAGTAGGATATCAGTAACCTTCAATGAACTTGATTTTCACAAACAACATAGCTTCATACTAAGTCTATTTCTACATGCCTAGAAGAGTTAGAAAATCAGACTCGACCCTGTGTTATCTCCAATGCCTTGGCCAAAGGAATCAGGGAACCCTATGAAGACATGAAAAAGAGGAAGAGGGGATGAATATAGGGAAGATTCTGGAATAATCTATTCAGTTCAGCTCTACAATTCTGGCCGATGGAACAAGAAGGCATTTCTTGGGTGGTTGAACTTGTGTATTCCCAGGGCAGAGAGTGTGCCTTTGAAAAATCCAGCTCAAGTTTAAAGTTCCTTCCCACCCAGGGAAGCTGAGATTTCAGTCTCTAATGATAATAAAGTCCAAGGGCTAGTGGTAAAGTTGAGCCAGAGGAGGGCTATAATTGCTTACATATATCTCTTAATTTAAGTCCTGTTTTCTATATCCCATCTTAGATCTATGGAGGTCCCGATTTTCACTCTCCCAGAATAGCCCAGTTGTGTGCCCGAAGATCATCTGAGAATCCCATGCAAGTGTCCAGCACTGGAAATGAGCTAGCCATCCGGTTTAAGACCGACAGCTTCATAAATGGGAGAGGCTTCAATGCCTCATGGCAGGCAGTCCCTGGAGGTGAGTGAACCAAGGCGGAGTCGCAAAGCACTGAAGCCCAGCCCTTGTAAATTTCATGAAGTGACTGGAGAGAGGTATAAACGCTACATCTTGACAGCTTTGTGGTTCCCAAGGGGCGAACGTGGCTTTGGCATATACCTTTCCCTAAAGCATGTGGTAGAGCTTAACTTCCCAAGTCCACCGCACATGCGATAACCAGGACATTATACAAGTCGATGGTGAGAGAAGTTGGGTGACAGGTTAAACTCACTTCCTCCCCACGGACTTGCGCCTGTTCACCAGCCTCGCACTGCTGGGACATCAGCAAAGCGGTAGGTTCTTTCGTGCCACGGTATAGACCTTGGTGTTCTTGGCAGATACCAAAGCCATAAATGTTAAATTTGTGAATTCCAAGGAATCACAGTGTGTGATATACTGCCCAAGAACATAAGCAGTCTAAGGAAATTACTTGCAGATCCTTTAAATAAAAACATAATGCACAAAATGTTTTAGCAGACGTTAACCTGTGCACCTACTCATAATAGCCACATTTATTAAATACCTACTGTTTGCCAGGAACTTTCCTAACTATTCTATAAGAATTATCTTATTTCATCCTCACAACCACTCTGCAAGGGAAATTCATTTTATATACTCATTATACTAAGGAGGAAATCAAAGCTTAGAGAAGTTAGTGACTTCCAGAAAATGCCAAAGCAGAAATGTAACTCTAAGCTGCCTTACGGCCTTTCTTCTGCAACTCTAAAATGATAGAGTAAGTATATTACATCTTTCCTAATGTCGGTGATATATAAATTTAATGGGAATTACAAATGTGTATTATTTAGACTATCCCTAAATGATTTTCTATCATTAGAAAATAATATTGAATTTTTGCATTACTGGTTTATATCATCAATCTAAGAAATGATGGGTCATAGAGATAGACATTGATAGGTATTCAATAACATCACAGGAATAAAAAAAAATGTATCAGATCCAGAGTATTAAATTTTAAAAGGCAGATATTAAATTATTTGTAAAAGCATACACTACTGGATTAATGCTATATTTTTAGAGAACCATGAAGAGGCATTTCATGGCTTAATGAAAACATGATTTCGTTTGCACTTATTTTTCAATATCTTTAAAATGACTTTTGGCATCAGTATTTGAAGTATTTTCTTAGTTGCCCTTGTTGGTTTTGTTGGGATGAATGAATTAATGGTGGATATTCAGGTCTTCAAAATGGTTAGCCCAGACTACATAAAACTGGTAGTCTAATATAGTAGCATATGGTCCTCTTCTACCAGGTTGTGGGGTAAACTTTTATGCATCAGAGATTCCTCTCATTACTGAACTGAGTTTCCTACCTACAGGTTGCGGTGGAACTTTCCAGGCTCCCAGTGGAGAGATTCATTCTCCAAATTACCCTAGTCCTTATAGGAGTAACACTGACTGTTCTTGGGTCATTCAAGTGGAAAGAAATTACCGTGTTCTCTTGAACTTCACTGACTTTGACCTTGAATCTCAGGACTCTTGTGTTATGGTAAGTGAAACAAATGTCAAGCGTTGTCTAGAGTCAAACCTGGTTCAAAACATTGCCATATGAGCATATTTAATGAATATAGTAGTTATGGATGTTTTCAACATAAAATCGTAGGAAAACCCCTATTGGCAACTTAAAATATAAAGACATTTCTTTTTTACCCAAATACAAATCAAGAGGTAGATAATCTCAGGGTTTGTTAAATAACTCAGTTTCCACTCCGCCGTTCTTAGTATGTTGGCTTTTCATTGTGTATATTACCTCATGGTCAGAAAATGGCTGCAGCAGCTCTGAACATGCTGTATGAGTCTGATGAAGAGAGGAGGAATAGTGTTAATTGTTTCTATTTTGTATTTTTTTAATCAAGAAAGAATTTTCACAGAAGCCCCTTTACAAATCATTAGCCAGAACTGGCTACAAGAGACATTAAGAAAGTATAGTGGAATGGATTTATCATAACTATTTTAAATCAATTATTATTAAGCCTCTGGAGGTTCTCATAGGGTTCTGCTTTTTTGAGATCAGAATATCTCAATCTGCTATTTGAACAAATCAGTGTCTGGTAGGAGAGAATATATTGGATGATGCGGGTGAAGGAGAAGGGATATGGCTATTAGTTGATTAGATGACAAAAAGGTTCTCTTACTGCCAACAACTTTAATACATTCCTATATGTTTTTAATGTAAGAGTGAATAAGGTTGCATTTTGAGATTTTTTTTTTGGTTTTAATTTCATTTTTTTGGTTATCTGACTTTTTTTTAACAAAAAGGTTTTTCATCTTTCATTTGTATTTTGAAACATTTCATTCAAATATAACCCAGATTCTCCTAGTTAATGAATCTTTCTAGTTTAGTTTTCTGACAGATTCTTATACAACCCTCAACTGGCTAGCTTTCAGATTTAACTTAAGAAAACTAAAAAATTATTCATATTTCTCAAAGTAGTCCACTAATGGTATAATTTCAAGTATTATTTTATAAGATTAAATCATTAATGTACTTAAAAACTCAGTTGAATTATGACTATGTAATTAACCTTCTAAATGAGTCTTTGTAGTCAAAATTAGCAAAATTTTACACAAACATAAGGTGTAGGTTATCTACTTTCAGAAGTGTTAACTCTGGCCAACTCTCCTGACAAAGACAATTTAAAAATTTTGGATGATATTTAAAAATATCTTCCTAAGTACAATAAAGAACTCACAAGATAGTTGACATTTCTGACTTAATATCAGAGAGAGACGTGAGCCTAATATTTAGGACTGCTTTGCCCACAAGGCATCTGCCGATGCAGAAGTTAGTTAGCAGCACTTCTGAGAGCCTCTTGGGGCAAAGGGGAACAAAGTTTGAGTCCAAGGCCCAAATAGGGTGGAGGTCCTGGTAAACCAGCCTAAATCCTAGGTAAAATAAAACAGCCTTTACAAAGACTGCATCCCAGCTTCCAGTCACCCCCAGATCTCAAGCCACGGAATCATGAGAGCAACTCTATATTGCTATTGGAAGTGCAGCAGATGCGATTTGAAATCTTCTAAGGGATGTAAAATCATCATACACCTCATTTCTACCAAAAGATTTTCATATGCAATAACCATCACACTATCGAAGATATTCATGTACATGAAGAGACAACATTAGTAACAACAGTGGAAACAAACATACTAATAAGCCAGGCACAAGTTGGCGATCAGCTGTGGTTACTAAGCTTATGGAGGTAAAAGTAAAACTTAAAACTTTAAGCAAACTATACAAAGCAATATTGCAAATATGAAAAAGAACTAACTGAAAATTTAAAAACTGGATTAAATACAACAGCTGAAATTAAATTCTCAGTGGAAATTTTTTTTTTTTGTCATATTAAACAAATTGGACAGAGATGAAGAGAGAAATAGTAAACTGCAAGATAAGTCAGAAGAATCTATCTGGAAAAAAGCATGGATAAGCAAAAGAAAAAAAATACAAAAGAGAGGTTAAGACACATAGAGGAGAGATATAAATGCTAAAAAGATATAACATGCATTTAATTGTAATCCCAGAAGGAAAGATAGGTAAATGGAGCAGAAGCAATATTTGAAGAGCTAATGACTAAGACTTTTCTAAAACGGATGAAAATCGGTTTACAAAAATAAGAATCCTAAGGAACTCAAACAGCCAAGCAGGATAAATTGAAAAACATACTTATCCAGAAAACTTATGACAATGAAAACAAAAAGTTGTAATTGGCCAAGAGAGTGGGTGGGCAGAAGACTAGATTACCTTCTAGGAAGTGGCAGACTGAATGCTGACTTTTCAATAGTGATAGTTGGAAGCAAAAAAGACAATGGGGTGATATTTTCAGTTTGAAGAAGGAAAATAACTACCAACCAGGAACTCTGTACTCTCCTAAAAAGACTTTAAAAATACAGGTGAAGTAAAGCTTTGAAGCAGAAGAGGGGCCTTCAAGAGACGTTTTGATGGGCCGGAGACAAACTGTCTACCTCGTGTTTTGCCTGTGGTGGGTGTTTCTTCATCGCTCGCTGCCTTCCCCTGTATGGTGCCAGTACAGTTTCTCCTCCTTGGTAAAGTCCATAATCTGTGGACTTCAACATACAAAGATGTGTAAACAAAACAAAGCCTAGGTCAAAGGCACACCCATCATGGCTGCATTATTTCCCTCCTGTTGTCATGAGTAGGATTTTCCACCTACCTGAGCTATAAATACACAGCCTGGGTGTTCTCTGAACCACTGCCATATCTCGGCTTGCACCTGGGCTTGACTTAAACTGTAGCAAGAGGGAATAAATAGGAGGAAGTAAAACATCAGTTATGGCCTGGTCATAGGCGTAGAGATAGGAAAATAAACGCAAAGACAGGTGCTGGGAGTAGTCCAGTCTGGCAGATAAAGTAAAATACAAAAAGTAATAGTACAAACAAGTTGTCAGAATCAGGGGATCCCGTATGAAGCAGTTGGAACGTCCCCACCGGTGGGCATGTGGGGCATTCAGAAGCAGATGCCACCGAGCACTCGAGCAACACTTTGATGTAAAAAGTGAACTCACGCACAGTGTAAGGCACCACAGGGCTGTAGTTAAGAAATTCAGCTCTGTGGTGGAGCTGAGCCTAGACTGTGCCATTTTGTAGCGGTGTGGCCTGGGAGAAAGTTAATCTTTCAGCTTTGACTTCCTTAACTGTGAAATGGGGCTAGTAAGAGTACTGTGTCAGATTTGTCATTGAGATATTTGAAACTATCTAAGTGACCTGCCTGTCACATAGAAAGTTCTCGGTTCATGCTAGCCATAATTGTAATGATGCTGATGGTGAGTGCTCTCAGGGGCATTTCAACAAGCGCTGACAGAGGAGGGTGGGTGGCGTAGGGTACTAGGAGAGGCAGTGGCCTTAGGTCTTCCCACCTGTGATCCTGGGCCTTACAGTTTTCTGTTAAAGAAGAACCTACTTATGAATCTTGCTCATAGCATGGTGCCTAGCACTTAGTGTACTTAGGACTCAATAAACTGCTGTAATAATCATGAGAAAACAGAGGCATGGTTCGTTTGGGCTTGGGATCCAGGGAAGGTTTCACACTGAAGGTGACATTTAAGTGGCAGAATTTCACTAGTAGAAATATGGTAAGGAGGCTTTAGGGGAAGTGTGCACAGAGGTGTGAGCACGCAGACATTTGGGACTAGAAAAAGAGAGCGTTGTGCCTGGAGTGTAGCTATGTGTAGGAGAGCACGTGGAGACCAGGGGTCTACAGAAGATACCTAAATTGGACAAACTCATACTCTGCGAAGAATCTGAAATTATCCTATAGATAATAAGGGGTGATGAAAGTTTTCTGTGAAACAGAGAAGCAATGTACTCAGAACTGTATTTTACAATGATAACAGGCAGTTGTTCTAAGATGGTTGACAGAGAAGGAGAAAGATGATATAAAGGCTGTTTGGGAAGCAGTGGAAAAATCTTGGGCAGTAGCCTTGAGAATGGAGAGAAAGGCCACATTGGAAAACGGTTATGGTGGTGGAGTCACCAAAACCTAGAGGCTAATTACAGGCTGAGGGTGGGCTGGGTGGCTGAGACAGAGGAGCTAAGACTGTTCTCCTGAAGAATGGGTGGACGATGATGTCATTAACTAAATGAGCAAAGAGTTTGACTACTGAGTTTGGAAACGAGTTTAAAGGTCTACGCTATGTCCCTTATAGAGTTCAACACGTGCATTAGGGTTCCATGTGGGGTATGAACTGGACATGTCTATTTGAGGATAATTTCTGTGTATTCGGATGGTTGTTAATATCAAAGTAGGTGTGGTCACTTATAGTAGTATTTAGTAAAGAGAAAAGGGCCAAGTAAACTCTTTGAGAAACACCCCCCACTTAAGGGGCAGACGGAGGAACAGAGGAAAAAGGAGGCAGGAGGGAAACTCAGAGAGGGAGGTAGAGAACCAGGACAGAGCGGGAGCTTAGACTGAAACACAGCAACTGCATTCGGTCTTCGATGACCTTGTAAGGAGCAGGGTCAGCGTGGGTAGTAGTGGAGTACTCCAGATCACAGTGGGTGAAGAGGTGCAGAAGCTTAGCTTTTTCTCCAGAATTATGGAAGCAAATGGTATAGGGGGATAAAAGGTTACAACCTATGAGTAAGGCAAGATCAACAGAAAATTATTGTTTTAATGATGAAGAAGCTTAAACATGCCAAGAGGGCAAGATGCTGGTGGGAAAAGAGTGGCTACGTGTAAGAGATAAATGGGATAATTGATGAAGTCATGTTATCAGGGCAGAGACCTGGAGAGATTGACGCTATAAATTTTATATTTTCAGAATGAGAAATTACAACAGATGCCCAACCATATTTTATTTTGATTTGCAAATTTATCTATATTGAAAATTACATAAACCACATATAAACAGAATCATTTTTTGTTTTTCCAATTTATAAATCACCCTTACAAAAAGATAAAGAAATGTGAAAAAGGACTGTTCAGATAAATTGAGATAGAGATCTGCTGTGTACGGCTGCCAGGTGGGCGC